GCCTTTTCTCCCCCCCCCTCTGTCTTTTCTTTGGTTTATATATATATATATATATATATATATACACACACACACACACACACACACACACACTACATTATCTCGTTCACTTTTTATCCCTTCCCCAGACTCTGCAAGATTATATACTGCAACCATGTTCTAGATGCTGACATAACTTTGCTCCTCTCCCCCAAATTTTTCTGAAATGATGCCCCTTTTTAATGTAAAAATAAATCTGTCACTATTTGTCCCCATCCTCCCCCCATTACCTAAGTTTATGTTACTAAGGACACTGACATGCAAACATAATATTTAGTCTGTAAGAGGTTAGCTATTCCTATTGCTCATACCCCACCTGAATGCAAAGTGCTATGTTGCATAATATTTCCGTGGCAACCAATTAAGTTTCAAACATGGAATTATGCAGGAGATAAGAAGAGACAGCAAATGTATAAAATATTCAGAGATCTTGTTTGTACACAAATGTAAGAACAAAATATTTTTGTATTTTTCTTCCTCTATATCCTACTACAGGAATTTATATGTATAAAGGAGAAAGAGAGAATTTTCTTCCTGATTCTTTTCTAGATTTTCCAGAAGGTACCATTATAGTTTTTTCAATATTAGTTGTACTCATTTTAATGTATGCCAATCAACAAAGTTTTAATCCAAGCCTAGGTACCAATTCAGGATTAAATTACATCAACAAGTCTCCTCTTTTGTCATTTGTTTAAAGCATTAAACTCATCTTAGACAGAACAGTTCTCAAGATGCTGGTTTTAAAAGCAGCTTTGCCATAAGAAACAAAGGCTACATTTCACAGGAGTGGAGAAAGTTCATTACAGCCTTACTTAAAATCTTATTAGTAACCACATTTCACAAAAGACATAAAAATCACCTCTTTAAATTGCTTATATTTAAAAAAAAAGTTCCCAGACCCAAAACACTTGCATGTTATGAGCTCCATTATTCGACAGTATTGCATATGAAAGAGAAAACAGCAGCAGAATCTAACGGAGGCTCTGAAATAATTTACACTATTGATATGAATAACTGAAATGATTAGTCTTTTATTCAGAAAGGTAAAACATTTTGGGCTGCTCAGTAATAAAGAGAAGAAAGTTAATTAATCCATTAGTTACTTAGGTGTCTCCAGAACACAGAGGAAGCATGTGAGATCCGATTACTCTAGGTTTCAAAATCTTTTCGTTTCCATCCATCCATCACTAAACTACATCTCACCAAGTACCAAAACAGTTACTTTAGTTACTAGGGGTCTTCCTAAACAAACCTCAATGTATGGAAAAGACATTAGATATTTGTCGAAGAGACTAAGAATAACTCCTCGGCAGCTAGAAACTACCATGAGCATCCATATCCACATCTGAAAAGTTACAGATCTTCAGGATCAATAACTATGCAAATCATATTTGAGATTCATGTGTCAAAATCAAAGTCACTGAAATGTACCCCACAAACTCCCCTCACTTAGAGAATACTTAGTCCTATCATGAGTGCAAAAGTCTGGATTAGGTGACCTCTTAAGGTCCCTTCCAGACCTATGATTCTATGATCACTTAATTCCTCTACAGAAAAACAAAAAAATCCCTGTATGTATTATTTTTCTTTTAGTAACTTTTACGAAAAGGCCCTACATGCTTCAGAAGACAAAACAATAAGAAACGGTGTCATGTTAGTGTGACCCAAAGGAAATTTTACCCAGAGTAAGACTGACCTTGGTGTATTCATCTTTGGCCTTGGTAAGCATCCGTAAAATATCCACTTCTTTGCTATCACCAGAGCTCTGGATCATTGGAGAGGCTCCTGTTCCAGCCCCCTGCCGTGCTTTGACTTGCTCCTGCTGAGTGAGACTGGAAGTGAGGGTAACATGGGAATCCATAAGGCACAAAGAAAATATCAAGTTCAACCACAATTATTTTTAATCATTAAACAAAAACACTGGAAAGGTTTTTATATATTTACAGTCTATATGAAAGGATGGCTTGACCGGGGACAAGATACAGTTTCCTCCAAATTCTGTGCACACAGGGCCATAAACACTTGAATTTCTGAAACTCAAATCACACATTCCATAGATAGAAGGTACAGGGAATTTATAGTGTTACTCAGTACTGACTAGTGGTGGGAGGTGGGGAATACACACAATTCAGTCATTAACTTGTAGTAAATGACCAATTTCCTGCCCCAGCTGTTTTATAATTGCAGCATAATGCTGAGAGTTCTAGCACACAGCCACTTGGCTGAGCTACAGGGTATTTTTTATCTATATGAAATGCTGCTATTATAAACCACTACACATGGTTTCCAATAGCATGAATCCTCTGAAAACTAGTCTTTATTATAGCAAATTACCAGTTTGAGAGTACCTAATCACCACCAACAGCAACTTGAGCTAGTTAACTAACATTAGCTGTTAAAAAGCCTGTTTCCTGGGGATATTTGTATGAATTGTTTCTGTATCAATTATTTCTCGGATCACAATTTATCCACTTCAGTGCTGTAGGACATACAGCAAAAACAAAACAAAACAACAAAAACAAAACAAAAAAAAAAGCCACCACCACAAACTAATCACTACCTTATAGACATCTCTGTGTTTCTCGCAGCATGTATGTCTACAATGCTGACCTGTAGACATACCCTAAGGCAGTGGTGGGCAACAATTTGACCACTTCGGAAATTTGTAAGGTAGCCACAGGCTGCCCTGGAAGGGGTGAAGCCTCAGGTGGGAGGGGCGAGGCTAGAACATGTCATGCTTCTCCACCCACAGACCCTGATTGGTCTGTGAGGGGTGTGTGTGTGAATTCTTTATCCCTGTTCCCCCCAGAGAGAACCACCAGCAGTTCTGAACAGCTGGTGGTTCCCTCTAGGCACCTGCGCCCCTGGCAGTGGGAGGAGACTTTGCATGCTTCCCCCCAGGTCAATCAGGACCTGGTAGCAGGAGGAGTATGAAGTCTCTTGCTCCCTGCCTTCCGGCGTGTGGCACCTAGAGCCAACCATTAGGGTTGACTCTACGCACTGCACGCTCTCCTGTCCCTAGGTGGGGAACTGACAGGACTTCCACGGGCCAGATTAGGCTCGTGGAGGCCTTTTTGCCCGCCCCAACCCTAATGCCTCAAAAACATTGATTACAGCATTGTATCAAAAAATTAAGCACCTCAAATCCATTCCCCATCAACAAACAAACATTGCCAAAAAGCAGGCATATAGCACTGTAAAAGAGCAAGCGAGATTAGATATAAAACAGTAGGCAGAGAAAGGACAGGCTCTGCCACCTCTGGACTCTTAAAGCAGTGAAAAAGCCAGGTGAGTGGACATATTTAATACTAACAAAAATGAAATGTTGTAGAGAAAATATAAGCTTTTATGTGAGCATGATTTGATTGTATAATTAGAGTTCATAAACTTTGACAATTATTTTATTAAGCAGATAAATATATTCAAGTCTGAACTAATTAAGACCTTGTCTCATGTTTCAGAAAAGTGACAAATAACTTAATCTTGCATATTTTGTTAAAAAAGGGAAAAAAGAGAAGGGGTTGTTCAAGTTTAACATGGAAAGGACATACAAAAATACAGAAAAAACCTGCAGGCATCGTTTATGAATGCCCCTCATGAAGCTCCTTTTTTATTCTTGCCCCCTGTAATGGTAATTCCTTTTAAAATCAGTCTCCCCCAAAAAAGGGAGAAAAATTATCCATCCAAACCCCGCAAATAAGTACTTTTTCATTGAGACACTCTCTGAAATAGATGTGTTAGGTTTTAGAGAATAAATCTGATGGCCCATTACATTCTGATACAATTTGAAAGATACTGAATTATGTAAAGGCATTTATTTTGCCTGCATATTTATTGGTAAAATAAATATAAACAGGGTTAATATTCAAAACAATAAAATGTGCATGTATATACCGAAGCACATACACATAAAGAGCACAAAAATTCCTGTTCACCCATCACCACTTACTTTTTCATGAGTTCTGCAATTCTTTGGCATTCTTCCTTATCATAAAACCAAATTCCATAAATGGACACTGCAAATGCACAACACAAAATATGAGCATCTTCTCTCACAATATTCTATCTGACAGTAACCTCCTTTGGAGTGGGTAGTTAAAGGTGACTTGAGAAGGATTATTTAAAAAAAAATATTTTAAGAAAGATTTTTTTTCTGATTACAAATATGTCAACTCTGGTATTCCTTGATTATGCTGGAGGATTTATTGGATATCTTAGATTTTACATTTCTAATTCTCATACCTGCACTGAGAGTGATGGAGTATAGAATCCTTTTCTCTATGTAAGTTATTTGAGTTAAACAGTTAACAAAAGACAAATTATTTCTCTTCTCAAATTGCTTGACTTTCACTTGCTTAGCTTTTGTCATGCCATCATTTTACTAGCTCTCAGTTATTAATGTATTATATGTAGACAGAACCCGAATTAGTAATGCAATAAGAAAGGAGAAAAACTGTTTAAAAACAAAAAAGAATCTTTTAGTCTCTTTTTACATACTATCAAAAGTAAAAGCACCCCAATTTTTCCCCTTTGCAGATCACCTTTAATGTTCCCCATTTTCACTCTTCTTTCTCTCTTCCCAAAAAGAAGCACATATCTACTAGATTAAGATGCAACCAATCCCGGGATTGGAAAACACAGTCCAGTCCACAAACATAACTTCCTGCAGCACTGACCAGCAGCAGATTTAAATTTACTGATAATATAATCTTTTCAAAACCATCCAGTCTTATGATCTAACCACAGCAGTAAGGAAACCATGAGACTGCAATTAACAGTGTTGTAGCTAACATATTAACATTATTTTCTTGTTCAGCCCAAATCAGAAACATGCTACAAAACTGTGTATACCTAGAAGGGTACAGCTATAACAATATTTCACTGTTAAGCATCTCAGAAAGGAGCTTTTATTTATGCAGGTCAGGGGAACTGTGCTAACTGTAACCTTGTTATAATACAGTTATTGCTAATGTGGTCAGCAGCGTAGGGATAATGCCTTATCTGAAAAGGATATAAATGATAATAGAAGACAGCATCTTAACACAGACTGTTAATTAAAATCATTGTCATGGGTCCTATAACTCACTATTATGATGGTCCAATGCAATCACTCCTTCTATTCTACACATCTATTTTCATTCCACAATGAAACTGTGGAAAGAAAACTTGGCATAGGAGGTTTAAGCTGGAAAGGACTTTAACATTTGAAAAGAAAATTAGTTTACAGCTGTTTGTAAAACACAGAAGTGCAATGAGCCCTCTGCCCCATTCCCCCTCAAATTTTTAGCCATTTATTATTTATAAGTCCTTTGTATAAGTAAAAAAGGACTGAAGTTAAATTTGCCAGATGATTATCTTTAGATATGACTTAATCACAGTACTCTGGCAGGTAAAGGAAGGAGACCAGAAATTCAACAGACAAAGAAAAAACACATTTTAAAATATCTGGTGCATTTTATTAATATTGATAGTGTCATGATGATTTTTATTGTCTAAAAACATTTTACACCAGGGTGGGCAATAATTTTTGCCCAGGGGCCCACTTAAAAAATTTCTGAAGTAGCCCTGGGCCACCCCAGAAGGGGCAGGCCCTAAACAGGAAGGGACAGGGCTACCCCACCCCCCAGAGCATAATTGGTCTGGGGGTGGGAGAGCCCCTTTGGGGTCCCCCCTTCCCACTAGGCACCCATGCCCTGGAAGAGGCTTGGCATGCTCCCCCATCCATAGGCGAATCAGGCGCTTTGAAGCGCCACATGCTGCTCGCAGGGTGGGGGCAAAGTGGAGAAGGCTTCGGGCACCTCCCCTCCCCCAGGCCCTAATTCGCCTGGGGATGGGGAGCAGCAGGCCCTGTGTGGACCGAATCTGGCCCACGGAGGCGCTTTTGCCCACGCCTGTTTTACACCATAGATTGTGATGGTTCCAAAACTCATGTATACATATGTAACAGAAAGCTGTTGCTATGAATTATAAAATGACCATCTTATAGAAAAGTAAATTAAACTTTAAAACCTACATTTCAAATACTAGGTTTATAACCAACCAAAATAAATGCCAGGAATGTTAAGCCACAACTCTTAAAAAATAAACATGGGATCTGTTTTTAGAATCCCTAATTAGTAACAGAGTAGGCATAATTTTTTTTTTTAAATATCCTTTTTTATACAAAATAATTGAAAAATTCATTGTTCTGTTAGGTCCTGTTTAAACTACAAACAGTACAATAGCTGAATCCTTCTATACAGTAGAGGACAGACATCACTGAAATACAGTTAAAACTGAACACTATTTTAAAGAATTTTACCAAACCATTGTTAAGATTCTGCAAAGTCTCATTTGCCCAGTCATGCCCAACTTGTGTTTTAATTGTGTGAAGGTGTTCCTGTGTTGCCAATGGGAGACTAGTATGGCAGGGCTCATAGTGTAAGACAGACAATAGTTGCCTGCCATATCTTTAATTAAAAAAAACTTTATTCCTCCTCTAGTTGGTATAATCCAAAAACTCCTAAATCAAATGTTTGTGTGACTGAGATTTGAGTATTTTTTAAAACAAGTTTATATTTGACACTTGGGAGATTTGCATCACTAAAATCAATTACACATTAAGGGTCCATCTAGACTAAATGCCTTTCTTGAAAGAGGCTTTTTCAAAAGATACTTTCGAAAAAGCCTCTTTTGAAAAAGAGCTTCTAGACTACAATCAGTACTTTCGAAAAAGCAAGCTGCTTTTTCGAAAGACAGCACCCAGGCAGTCTGGATGCTCTCTTTCGAAAAAGCACAGTTTGCATTACATAGCGCCTTTTTTTGAAAGGGCACTTTCGAAAAAAGGTGTTATTCCTCGTAAAACAAGGTTTTCCGCGATCAAAAAAACTGCCAGGTTCTTTCGATTTACTTTTGAAAGAACGCGGCAGCAGTCTAGACGCAGGGGAAGTCTTTTTGAAAAAAGGCCACTTTTTTCTAAAAAAACCCCTGTAGTCTAGACACACCTTCATAGAACACAATAAATAATCTCCTTGTTTGTTAACATGGTCTAATCCAACCCCCTATCACTTTTGGCCATGGACAATTTAAAATCTGTAACAAAAAGCAAGAACAACCCTGCAGATTTCAATTCCTGTGACAGAACATGAGCAGAGAGAAGGCCTCTCTAATTATCTGGATAAAAGACTATTTTACATTTCATAGGTTGTAATGAACAGTCTGACATGCACCAAGGAGCAGACAACCAGTGCTGATCACAGAGCATGGAGGGTTGAATGATCTGGCCCATTCAGGTGACATTCCACCACATCAGTTGAGGTTTTTAATCCTTTTTTCTGGTAGCCTCAAAGCATATATCCACTAGGGTTGCTAGGTGTCCGGTATTCACCCTGACAGTCCAGTATTTTTGCCTCCTGTCTGGTAAAAAAAAAATTCAGAAAATACCGGACACCTAAAATGTCCGGTATTTTCTGATTTTTTTCCCTGGCCAGGAGGCGAAAATGCTGGGCATCTGACAACCCTACAAACGGGCACCTGGCAACCCTACAAACACTCAGTGCCCAGCTTCCCTTCCCCACCTGCCTCTACCCCAAGCCGCCCAAGACCCCATGCTTACCTGGTTCTGCAAGGCTGCTGGCATAAGGCTGCCGGTAAAAGATGAAGGGGAAGCAATGACTGCCCTGGGTCTTAGTGCTCAACTGCTCCCCCGTTCCTATCCCTGCACTCACTCTTAAAGGGGACTCACTTTTGTATGCTGTTTTCATGCTGTTTTATTTTATTTTTTTTGGCTTAAGTCTTGGAGTCATCTCCCCCCCCCCCCCCTTTTCTCCCTTTCAACAGATTTTTTTGCCCCGGTGGTTTTTTTTTGGGGGGGAGGGGGAGAGGAGGAAGGAAGAGGGTCGGTATTTTTGTTTCAACCATCTGGAAACCCTAATATCCACACTGCAGAGTTAGTCCACAGGCTCGCTCTCTCCGAGGTGTTGACCCTAACTCCCTTCCTGTCCACCCACAGGAACCGCACATACAAATTAAGTGATGCTCTCAACCCAGGTTATCTGGTCCATCTGGAAGTATAAAGCCAGGGCTCCACTGTCACTCAGGCTGGCAGTCTCTCCACTTCGCAGTGAGCACACAAAGTCACTTGAGGGCTATTGTCCTCAATACCTTCTCAAAAGCACACACATTTTTTCCACAGCTAAATAAAGATTTTTACCAAATCAAATTAAGGATTCAAAACCAGTCAATGGCTTATTGTAGAAACTAAATTTAATATATTTAGATCACAACATCAAAGTCAATTATAAAGTTTTCCTTTGAAGTACCTCCCCCAAAGGTCTTTTGACAAATCTGGTACAAGGCAGATCTTGGTGCTACGCAAGTTGGGCCAATTAAGATCAAATTAGGTCCTTTTTTAGTTGGAGCATCAACCTGGAAAAGCTCTACTTAAACCAGAAATTTTAAAATATTTGCTGGTGAACATACCAGACACTCAAAACCAAACAACTTTACAGTCTACTTGTAGCCATGCTGGTCCTTGAAGAAGAGCTCTGTACAGCTCAAAAGTTTCTCTCACCAACAAAAGCTGGTCCAATCTAAGATATAACCTCAACCAATTCAGGAATTTACAGTAAATTCTGTTTTGAAACTGGCCTTTGTTTTTGGTTTTTTTTTGCTCCCTCCCCCCCCCCCCCCCCCCTGCCAAACAAAAATTTGGATTTTACCCATTTTAACCTCAATTTTGCAAGTGCTGGAATGCCCTGCGTTTCCAGCACCCTGCCAAAAGGAACAGAGCACTAGCACACAAATCAACTGCCACTTGGCAGCCAAGTGGGGCTCCCTGCTTATCTCACCCCCTTATCACCAAACTCCCTGTGCATTAGGGGAATGAGACAAATATGGACACAGGCAGGCAGTAGTTGGTCTGCCTTCTCTGCCAGACAGAGCCTGCACCTGACTCTGGCACTTCAAAGTGACTCTAACTCTGTGGTGTCCAACATGTTGCTACTTGGCTGGTTGAGTGTAGCTAGCGTACTATAGCAGTAGCCGCTATAGTGGCTACTGCTTCAGAAATGGTTGGACACCACGGCTCTAACTGCTTTCTTTGCACAGTCGGAAGTGACACAGGCAGGGAGTGCCCCCTCCCTACCAGCTGAGACTGCCCCACCCACTTCTGCAGCAACAGGCCTGCAGGGAATGGAATGCTTCTGCATTCCCATGAGTACTGGGCTACCTTCACACTCTCCCCAGCCCCTTCGTATTTGTTTATCAATCATCCTTTAACATTTGTTTTTATATTGATAAATTCCTGTGAAATTTTAAATGAAATGAACTCTCAGGACTGTAGATACACTAGAAACAACTTTTTCTGACATCTTCATCTTGATAAAGAAAAAAAGTTACTTGAAAATCTATCAAAACTAAACTCCCATAAAATGTAACATTTTATAGAAAGTCTGTATTCCATTCTCAACCATTTTGTTGTCAATCATAAATAAAATACTCTCTCTTTACTAAGCCCACATTTAAAGAGGAAGATTGTGCCCTCCCCCCACTCAATGTTTTATAGAGGACACAAAGACCACCTGAAAATTGTCTGTTTTGTCTCCTCCTGCTTTTTACACTACAAATTGAGGTCAGATCTGCCCTGTTTTCCTGGAAAACTGTAGATAACTCAAGAGTTACTAGGTTTGTGATATCACAACTATCAAGGAAATAAAGCCCAAATAACTGAGCAAGAAAGTGATTTTCATTAAGTCTAAAACTCTGGTTTTGCTAACACTACTGTAACTCAAACACTTAACACATAGCTGGGAAAAAAAGCTTTCTGTTAAAGATTGAAAAGGCCTCTTCAGTTGAACAGCTGATAAAACTCCCAATCAACTTTCAACAAATAGGGACAGTAAGACAATATTTTCATTATTTCAAAGTCAAAGAAAAAAAAAACAAGCAAGAAAAATACTTTATCGAAGGAAAATAAAATCATTTTCAGAGAGTTATCTTTACATGACACAAAAGACATGAAGGAAAAATTCTGCCTCTTGCCCCCCCCCCCCTCGTACCAAAAGCTTGACGGGTTACCTTTAAAATCAAACTAGCAGGGAATTGTTCAAACATCTTTCTCAATCATCTTTCCCCAAATGCAGATGGTTAAGAGAGTGGGCAGTAAATTGGCAATGTTGTTAAAGTCAAGAGACAGTTTCTTGTGTAGGGATCTCACCACCATCTGTTTAAATGTGGCTGGAATCCTTTCTTAAAAAGCAAAGCATTTAATAATTCTTGTTAATAAAATGGGCCCCAAACATCCCTCTGATCTTTTTTTTTTTTTTTTTTTTTTTAAACCAGCCAGGAAGTGAAGAAGCCCAGATTACAGATTGTCAGATGTAGATGCAACAACACATCTTAAACCCCGCTCTACAAAACAGAACACTACTCGAAACAGAGAAGGTAGTTTGTTTGTAAGACCTTGCCCATCACTCTACCTTAACCATGCTAGTCACATCACACTATTCATTCAGTCTTTCTAGCAAAACAAAATAGAAAAAAGTTCTATACCATACCATGCCTTTCGTACTCCTGTGCTGCTGCTGGCAGTGGCTCCACCTTTAGAGCTGAGCTCCTGACCAGCAGCTACCACTCTCCCCCAGCCCAGCTCTGAAGGTTGTGCTGCCACCACCAGGAGCAGAGAAGTAAGGGTAGTAGTAACACAACCACACAAACATCATAACCTTGCGACCTCCTTCCCAACAACTCCTTTTTGGGTCAGGACCTCTACAAATTCAACACTGAGATTTCAGATTTAAATAGATTAAATAGAATTTACATTTTTTAAAATTCTCTGACCATGAAATTGACAAATATGGACTATAAATTTGTATTTGTATGTAAAAACAATATAAAACTAAACTCACATTCCAGGAGAAGTTGTCTGGCTATGACAAGCCTACAGTCTACAAAATCCTAGACAAAAGCTATCTTTCTTCAAATACAAGAGTATATCAGACAAGTTAGTGATGATTTACAAAAAACAGAGATCACCATGACTCAGTAAGGTGATGAGCTGACAGGCAGATGGAGCCCATTATCTTCACTTCTCAATCCAAGTTTTCCTGTAAAAGCACTAGGGGAGGAGAGGGCTTTAACCAAGCAATAGAAACACAGGACAAAAAAGGATTAGGAGTGAAGCACTAGGGAAGAAAAGATAATGCAAGAAATGCTGCTCACATTTCAAATAGCTAGAAAAGTTTCTGTAGTTTTGGTCACATGAGCTTTTCCAAGACTAGGGTTTAACATCTGGACAAGTTTTGTGGCTATTAGGTTTAAATGATATTAAAGTAGAAACTACGGACAATCAGGAACCTACTTTTGCTATATACAGAGTATTTAATTCAGCTGTACAAAGCTACCTTTGGAAGTATAAAATGTTTCAAGCCTTTGTTCGGCAATCTACTTCAGCATATCGCCCACTACCGAACCATCTGCCAGGTGAACCTGAAGTGAAGTATAAGGGCAAGTTGGTGCATGAAACTCAGCTTAGCTGCTTCTACATCCAACCTGGAGGTAAGACCCACATTAGTGATATAAATAATGATGTCCTGAAATCTTCTGTGTTGTATTCCATTCCCATTGAAACAGAACAGTTATTTTCATATCTGAAAACTTTTATGAACAATGCATTTTAATAATCATTGGTAATATATTTGGAAATTGTGGCGTATAAATGCACTCCCACAGGAGACAGAGTGCTCTGGAAATTCTCAGATCTCTAGAGTGAATAGAAAGGCACTTCATCAGATAACATGCTGACTTTTAAGCGCCTAATTAATTCCAGTCCCTTGCTTCCATCTAGAAAAGGATGAGACAGGGCTTAAGAAAAAAATATTTGATTCCAGAATTTAAAATGCAGTCACGGACAAACTGTGGGCATGGGTTTGAGTAGGCATAGATGGGAATAACGGGATTTCACTTTAAAGTAGAGAATATATAAACAATATTTGAAGACAAAGTAGTAAATGTGTTTTTTAAAGGCAAGCCTGATTTCTAAAGGGAAATTAATTGAGACTTGTTTTCCAATCTTCAGTTTTCAAAAGTACTACATACATATTCACTCTCCTGGGAAAAACACAGACAGCTGTCCATTTTATCCTATATGAAGTAATAGGGGGAAAAAGTGTCACATGAAAAGTTACCGTCTTTAAAAAAAATTCCATTCCATGTTTAACTACTCTGCTTTTCTCATCATATGGCTATCTTATCTTGAAAAGATGTCCGGAATTCCCAGTGTTGGCAGTACACTCAACAGTAAATGTTCAGAGCAGTTAGCATATTGCTTATGTACTGACATCCATAAATGGGAAAGTAAGCCGGTGTTCAGCAGAAACATGCTGAATTATTCCTCTTTCCACCTCATTAAGAATCTCTCTCACATCTTCAGAGTGCTCTAAATCTACCTTAATTCTCCTTCATACACTTTCTGCATCAATGTAACAGGCCAAACGGATTCAATCACTACCAGCCACTGAAAGTTTTTTTTAGCTTAACTGTTTCTTTTCATGGGACATAAAATTTCACTGACTTTCAAATACCAGTCCATGATTCCACATGTGAATTTGTAACTATTAGCAGAGAGGCATCTTTTTTTTTGGCTGCTTACTACTCATCAGGCAATAGCAATATTTGAAAACGGTGGCTTTACCCACTACAGGTAAGATTGCAGAACTATCACCATAACAAAACCATTTTTAGGACTTTCCTAAAATGTTCACCTTTTCAATTGAATATTTCCATACTCCGATCACACTGTGCAGAAAAGCCTTAAGTTTAGCAAAATCCCTGTAATTGTGTTGAATCATAGGGAAAAATTAAGGCTATAATGAGGCAGACAATCGACTAATTGGGGTTGTGTGTGGTGGTGGGAGGAGGGACGCGGTGATAGGGATCCAGAATTGACCTCCCCTGGTGCAGCAAACTCACTCATTTGGGACCAGTGAGGACCGAGGGTGCCAGACCAGTGTGGTCCAACTTCTGCGGGTGAAAGGGAAAAGTTTTTGAGCTTCAGAGAGCTCTCTCTCAGATCCGAAACATATGATATTTGGCCAGTGCAGAAAACTGATTAGATGAACTACTAATCTAATCTGGTATAGTGACTTCTATATTTCTGCTGAGCCGCATCATAGCAACAGGCACAAGACTCTTAAGTGAAAGGTCTCTGCACAAATCATTTGGTTCCAAGCTCTAGTGTGTCTTCACAATGCACTACTGATAAAGGAGGAATGAGAAAATAATTCTAGATTTCATGTCAGACCTTGACCAATCTCACTAACCAAGCTATATGATGTAAACCTGGATAGTGTTTTAAATTATCAAATAATTTAACCAACGCCATAGAGCAAAAGGGTTATTTTGCTGTTAGAAAAACAAAGGAAGTTTTTGAAAAATTGCAGCAAGTATGCATTATTTCAACCACAGTGAAAATACCGATTGTGTCTTCCCATCTCAGGTATAATGAGATACCAAAAAGAGAGACATTTCTACTAGCAATATCCATAATTACTGAATTAGTTTAAACTTCTACCTCCATTCCTGACTTCTAAATTAACAGCCCTAAATCCAACCTCGCTTAAATAGACACAGACAAACTTTTCAGGGACACAGTGGATTAGTGCAAATGGTCACTGGTTTGGCACCCAAAGCCTGTCTGGATTGCTTTAGTATTGGGTTATAGTGCCTAAAAGCCTTGATGCAAACACCTATTTCAACTTCATATTACAAAGATCAAACAAAAAGACACAAAATAGTATGAAAATTGCCAAACTACAAGAAGAAAAACATGTTAATCATACTGTAAATCTTCATAAACTTTAGCATCATTGAATATAATTTTGAAAAATATTGTTATTGTATATTGGCTGCAAGTACCATCCTTTTAAAGGATAAATACAATGCAACAAGAAGGTCAGCAGACTTATCTAGCACAGCAATACCATCTTTTGCTGCGGAGTACATTCATTTCAGATTATCTGATACTAACTATAGATATTCATCTGCATTGAAATCAAAATGGTTTCAGTTAGCATTCAACAAAATGCTGCAATTTGACAGAAATTATTCAATCCCTCAATCCTACTGTTTGCTTTTAGATATCTCTGAAATTTATACTTAGAATAATCTTTTTCAAATATCAATTTATAGTTTTCTTAAAAAGGAAAGCAACTGTATTGCTGAACTGTTAAACACAGATGAAAATGTATGGTTTAAATAACATAACAGAAAGATAAGTATAGTAACTACAGATTAAGATAATTTACTGAAAGGCTAGATTAAAGTTAATTTACTTAAAGTGTCTACTAAATTTGCTCCTAGCCCGCAGTGGGCATATAGCTATTATTGAATGTCCCTCTACCAGAAGCAAAGGGAAGCAAGACATTAAAAACAAAACAAAACAAAACAAACAAAAAACCCTCTAAAAAAACCCTAACATTAATCCTTAAAAAGAAAATTCCAATTTATAGGGGGCACCCCAAAACCTCAACTCAGTGAAAATACTGGAATAAAAAAGTGTGTGATGAAAAAGATTTACAATACTGTGTGAGCTGGAAATCCATAGTACTGTTGTGAGAATGAGTTAACGAGTGAAAACATGTTTTTAAGATTGCTACCATCAATACATTTTTTAAAAACAAATTCTCTAAAATGGAGAAGGAAAAAAAGAACCAGAGTTCCTCATAGTTTAGTCAAGCAAGCTCTGGATAGAATATCTGTAAAGAAGAGAAGGAATAGTCAAATTATCAAGTACATCTATACTTGCTGCATTGGGGAAATCAAGGCTCGGAGATCCATTCACCCATGGCTGATTTAGCAGGTCTAGTGAAGCCCTGCCAAATCAACTACAGATCGCTTGGCAGTTGACCCCTGTACTCTATCCCCTGACAAGAAGAGTAAGAGAATTTGTAGGGTGCAGAAGTAGTGATAACTTGACCTAAGGTATGTTTTTTCCAGCTATGCTATTCACATAGCTGGACTTGCGTACCCATGGTAGACTTTCTGTTACAGTGTAGACATAGGTCTAGAAAGGAACCTTATTGGTCACACGGACCGCTGACACATGAGAAAGAATGCCTCTCACATTTATAATCAGCCTCTCATCTCCAATATGCAGAAGCTTCTAGTTTTCATCTCTTTCAAAGGGTCTAAGGCAGTGGTCACCAACTGGTCAATTGCAATCAACTGGTTGATTCTGGGGAGTTTCCCAGCTGATCACAATTGGCATTCAGCAGGCTCAGACAACAAGGCAGCCCCATTTGTGTGTAAAGGAGGGAGGGTGGGCTTGAAGTCTCTACGTGCTACTCCTGCTTGCAAGCACTGCCCTCCAGAACTCATAGGAAACTGTAATCAATGGGAGTTGACAGGGGTGATGATGGCAAAGAAAGGGAGCGGCATGTACAGCCCTGCATGGATACCAATGTCTACCTGCAGATAGACACTAGTATCTGCTGATCCACAAAGCTCTGTTTCCCAGGAACTGCTGTGCACAAATGGAGAGGAGCACCGCGGCGCCACTCCTAGAGCCAGTGCCCCTGTGGCTGTGCTGCTGTACTGCCCCCAGGTCCACTGCCAGCAGGGCTGTAAGACCACAGACAGGGGGATGTGGCTGTCAGCAGGGCTGGGGGTAGTGCACTAGCACTGCCAGGAGGAGCTATCGGCACAGGGTGCTGACTCCTGGGAGGAGTGGCACAATGCTCCTCGTTGTTGGCCACAGCAGCTCCTGGGAGCAGAGCCTTGTGGATCAGCAGATACAGATGTCTATGTGCAGGTATACATTTGTACCTGAGCAGGGTTCTAGCCTGAGGCCAGAGCAGGCAGAGAGCCTCCCTCAGTTTTGCTGCATTGCCAAGGAGTTTAGGCTGAAGAGGCCTTGAATTTGTTCACTTTCTTAAAGAATGTGACTATTTCTAGGGGAGTCCAACAGGGGAATTATTTTGCTCCCAGTAAAGCATGAATAGTTGCCGTTTCCACTCAGAGTGAGTGCTTGACCTTTTACTAGACTATTGTGGAGAAGTGGAGGTGGAGGAAAGAATAGAATAACCAGGGCTTAAGCATCTATCCCTGCACCTGGAACATATCTGACAGTAATAAATAAGCATTGGAAGTAGTCTGCTTGTGGACTTAGAACAAATATATGACTTCTTCTATGCACTGAAGCCAAGTGACCAGCATAGATGATTCCAGGTTCTGATGGAGTAGCTGGTTCTGAGAAACTAAGTCCACTCAGAGGGGAAGGAGTTTGTACAATACCAGAAGTACACTGGATGAGGATCTTGGGTGTTTTGTCCATCAGACCCTCACCAGAGGGAAGACAAACTAAGACAAAATTCTATGGCTGCAAGAAAGCATTGGCTCTTAGCTAAGGGATGCCTAATTTGAAAGAAGAATATTGGTATCTTCATATTCCTCTAGGCGACCATATATTGCCAATTCACAAGACTAGCTAATTTATGCAAAAACATGTTTGTGTCACTACTCTTCTGTCCTCCCTTTGCCATCCTCTTAACATGGTTGTTAAACATACTTGTTGCACCTGGTTTTTAAATTTAGATTGTAAACTCTTTATGGCAGGTACTATTTCCTACTATACATATGCACAACTACTAGTAAAATGGAACCTTTCAGTGCTACTGTACAATAAATAATATAATTAAGTATCTTTAATACTGTGCTTTCCAACAGTTGTCATTACCCAGATAATTCTAGTTGTGACTCAGCTTGTCTATCCTGAAGTCTAGTTCTCCATCTATGTGTGTAGCTGAGAAGGAGATAAGGTTTCTTTTTCACCACATATGGTTCTGCAAGAGTTTGTTGCTATGCCTCAGTTTCTGTCACTCTACAAGCAATTATAGGAACACTTTTTGCCTGTGCTGAAAGGCAGGAAAGCACTGCAGACTGCTCTTATTTTCTAGAGGTAAATTGGTAAAGTGTTTTTCTAATAGTCTCAGAATGCTAGACCTCCATTCTATCTAATACCTATTTTTCCCTTCCTCCCATCTCCTCCCCTTTTCCTATTAATTTAGATATTTTCCTATTTTATTACTGCTACCCCCACTGCAATGTTATATCTAGAAAGGATATAGAAGATATATCTAGTATATAGAAAGGATGTTAAATTGCGATTAATCAGATAACAAGTACTGCAGCTGATGCAACAGGGTTAGCTCTTGAAGGCGGTGTGAGCTGGGACTAAGCAGTCCTGGCTCGCGCCGGACCCGGGAGCTAACACTGCTGTGGCTCTGCCTTTTAAAATGTAGAAAGAGCTGCTGGGCTCTTACTATATTTAAAAAAAAGACAGAGCGATAGTGCCTATGTCTCCCCAGTCTTCACCTCCCACACTGTGGCGATGGTGCTCGGGAGAAACAGCTTTTAAGGCAGCTCCCCCCAGCACTGGCTCCTGTTCCCACCCCTTGCAACCTCTAACACAGAGTCAGCAAGGGGGGGGCGTGAATGTGAGTAGACTATTTTCTACTCTTTTACATTCCTAGTATCTAGTATTGTCTGATTTTGTATGGGATAGTCTCACTGCTTTGACAGGTTATAAAATGTCACAGATTACTGAGATCTTCTGAAATATTCGGAAACATACACAAGTTAAGGGTTTGGGGCTTTTTTTTGTATTTTTCACCGTTAATGGGGGACAAAACCCACCAAAACCCCCATAAAACCCTACCACTGAGATTAGCAGCCGTGTGCAGCCTTGTGGGCCAACAGAGGAATCCCAACCAGACTGACTTATGAGCAAGTCAGAGGAGCCAGAAGGGAGACTTACTTCAGGTGTATATATAGAGACACAAATAATTTGATCACTAACATACATGTAAGAGGTGTTATGATCCTAAAGTTCTAAAATCTGGAATTTCTTGCAGTTCACATTCTGAGATGAAAGTTTAATGAATTATGCTACAATCAAATAATCCCTATTTTCCTGTAATACCGTGCTCAGGGTTGTCTCCTTGTTCCCTGTATGTTAGTGTGTTTTAGACTGTGTCTCACTAGCCTTACTGTTTCTTCTCACTGTTGTAACAAGCACAAGGTTAGCACAAATGACAGGTTATTTTTCCCATTACTTAAATCTAACATCAAAAGTAAGTTGTAAGCATATGCACACCAAAAAAACACTACTGAGAATTTTTACAAAGATATATATACACACACACACAAGGAAAACCACGTATGTATACAGTATAGGTAAGAAACTTAAAATCACTAACTGGAGTAATAACTAGTCTTTACCCTACGTATCATTCTAATATCTTATAAATGGCTACAGGCAGAGGCACGGGGAAAACTGGTGAGGGCCTCTGGATTTACTTGAAATGTATCTGGGAAATTTCAAGTATCACCTTTCTTTCAGCTTTTCAGATACTTTCCAAAGGTAGGATATTTATTAATTATTCATGAAGTTCCTGCTTTTCTTAAAAAAAAAAATCATTTTTACCATACACTGAGTCAGAGTCACTGCAGCCTCCTGATGCATTTTCCTGCTTCAAATTATATTTGGGAACTGACAGTATCTCTGATGAATATGCCCCTATGTGCTGCAGGGAAGATACTATGACAGATCTTCAGGTTCTATCACATCCAACTAATTTCAGATGCACACAAAGGTAAGTTCAGGGGACCTCATACAAACTGTTTTCAAAAGATTAGGACCTAAAGAGAAGTGTGCGCCAAGGTACAGATCTCTTACATGAGTGCAGAGACATAAGCCTTCATTTTTATAACCACTCGCTATTGCAGGCAAGCTTTACCTAACTGCATATTGAAATGGCTTCCTAGGCAAATTAGCTGCTGAGAGTTTCAAGGAGCAATTTGCTTTGTGACAGACAAATGGCTCCAATAATCCCAGGAACGACTGAACTTTATACACTGCTAGTGTCTGCAGATCATAGACCTAGAATGAGCCAGTCAATGGATGGACAAACATTACTTCCCTCCTGAGAGCCACAGTTGATAACATTCACTAGTTTACTAAAAAGGTAGGGAGCTATAGCCAAACCAGAAGGCTTTGAATTGGCAATGGCAATGTTCTTCCAGTGTTGCCCAGCACATACATGAAATCAGAGATCAGCTAAAACCTGCCTAACTAGCAGGTTCTTCTGCATGTGAGGCTTCCAAATACTAAGTCAGACATACTTTACAAACAAAAAACCCACAAAACCTAAACGCATACAAGATTTCTACATATATCTACATTACACCGCATTTTACCACAAAGACCTATTATTTGCCAGCCAAGAGACAGATTGATGGCTTAACAATGCTTAACTACTTTCTCAAGGAGAGGGGCACTTCGATACAAAGAACAACTAGGGTTGTCAGGTGTCGGGTTTTCGCCCGGACTGTCCGTTATTTAGGTCCTCCATCCGGTAAAAAAAAAAACCCAGAAAATACCGGACATGTGAAATGTCCAGTATTTCCTGTTTCCCTCAGGTGGAAGCCCCGCAGGGACAATTTTCCCCTGTCACATCTGGCGGGGGGTGGGGGAGTGAGGAGCATAGGGCCATTTAAAGGCACAGCACCTTTTTTTTGTGTGTGTGTTCAACAACTCTGGTCTCTCCCCTCCCCCTTTTTTTCCAACAGAATTTTTTTCCAGGTGGGTTGGGTTTTTGGGAAGGGTGTTTTTTGTTAAACCATCTGGCAACCCTATGAACAACTCTTCCCTGGATTTGGTATTTCAAATTTCAAAATTTACCCCTCTGGGTTACAATTCCTGTGCAAGCCAATGTCAGCTCTTGAAAGCCATAGACTAAACGCACCAGTAATCAATGAAATGTCTTAAAATACAAATTTTGTAAAAAGTAACTTATTTCTCAAACACCTCTCTCAATGGATAGATGAGAAAAACTCACATCTGGCATTTCTGTAAAGCAGAAAAGGGTCCTGCAGCTGGAAATCTAAGTCTTTAGTGATGGGCTCTGTTCGATTTTCCATGCTCAGCCTGTTCATAATGGTGAAGCCATGCCTGGGAGAAGCTGATCTGTAAATTACCAAGCAGAAATCATAGCAAGTCAAGAAAAAAAATATGAGTATCGCTTTTTTTTGTCTGACAGTGCTCCAAAATTATTATTGCAATAGACATTATTATATAAAAACCCAACTATGTTACCAGGAAGAAAAATGAACAATGGTCTTGGAGCCCGATAGAATTTTTGGTTTCTTTGTGGAATCTTTTTGCCTTTTCCAAACTCCTAAGCTCTGTATGAAAAATGAGAAAGATAACAAAGGCCAAAATGATTGTTTTTTAATATAGTCTGCAGCATCTGACTAGCATCTGCTAGTTTGAGCCCTAAAGCCTCTAGCCACAGTCCTAATTATTTGTGCATGCCCTGCATCCACAGTAAGTTTCAAGGCCATCAACGGGCAATAACTTACTAATGTAAAACTTGTCTTTAGACTACTGGTATCACAGTATTCAAGGATCAGAACTGGGCTACATTTCCCCACTGCAGCAGAAAAGCGATATTGGAAAGTATGTTGTGGGACAAAATTAACAACAAATTTTACTTTTTTCCTTTAATACATGAAGATAGTGAATTATACAAGTCACTCCAGGTGTGATTTTCAAAACTCCCTAGGCAGCATAAGAGCAGAAATCCTATTGACTTTCAGTGGAATTTCTTTGCGTAAACCACTTAGGTGCTTTTGAAAAATCTTACACTCCAACTCTACTTCCAGTGCCAATAAGAGATGTTACCTTGGAACTGAGTTTGACAATGATGGACAAGACAATGACTAAATATTTGGGATAAATGTCAAGTTCAGAAATCACCAGCGGGTGTCTCTATTAACTCCCAAGCACAGGAACCCACATTACAAGAAGGAAGAAAATGGAAAATGAAAGAAAGGGCGGAAGTAATAGAAAGAATACTTGATGGTAATAATCAGAATTGTATTTCCCTGAATCTTTTAATGTTATCCCTAACAGGTCTCATTTTTGAGATTTAGAGTACAAATCTTTTTTACAGATCACAAAAGAGGAGCAGGTGATAAATAAATCAGCTTATTTAACTGAAATGCTAGACAGTTCCACATTTCCAAAATAATGATGAAATTGGAATTATTACTACAACATCTATAGAAAGGAATTCCTCAGTTGTACCCATCCCAGTTTCCAATAGCTATGAACAAAATATTTTTATTGTGCTGAGACCTAAACTTTATAAGCCTTTTCAACATCAACTGACACTAAAATGTGAAGGGGACTACTTACTTACCATTTGTAAAGTGATCTAAAGGGAAGCCCTGTGTAGGAGTGCTAAACATTATTATTGGGGAAAACAATGCTGTAAATGAATAAAACTGGAGAACATAAAAAAATAGGGGAATCAGAGTGGACAATATTAACATTATTAAACTGTATTGCGTATGCCAGTGTATTTGGCATTTTGTGCTCAGAATTGCTAGAAGCCAAGAATCCACTGAAAATAAAATCATGTATTCTCTTCTCAAAGAAAGCAAAGGAAACAAGGGAAGGAAATGACAAAAGAATACATGATGATAACAGCCAGATTTCTACTTCTGAGTATTTTAGCATCATCCTCAACAGGAAGCCAATATCTGACACTTAGGATAGAAACATTTAAATCAAAGAAGTTACAAATTATTATTGTAGACCAAAATTATCACTTTTTATTTTTGTAAAGCTGTCTCATTCAACAATTTTAACCATATATTGTTCAGTTTAGTTATATAATTGAATGTCATCACACTATTTCTAACCTGTGCCTTTATTATCTGTTTAAAGAGAAGGGCTGAAAAGGGTTAACTCTTAGTGCTATGATTAAGAATATAGCAGAAGGGAGCAGAGAAGACGTAAACTACTAAACCAATGCACTACAACAAGTGAATATCCTTCCTCAACTTCCTTCTTCTCAGGACCCAGAAAAGGAAGCAGGGTGGTAGAGGGGCACCGATTCTGATAGACTAGAAGCAGGAAGCTGCAAAATTCAGGTCCTGTGCACAAGAGATTCATTTCCCTACTATGGAGTGGGCAAGGCACCTTTGATCTGCCAGACCCTGCTACAAACTACAGAAGCGGAGTCAGTTCCTTCCTCCAGCAGTAATAATTACATCATCATCTCTTACTTCATCCACTCTTGTTCTTCTCTACACAGATGAATAGAAGAGTGGGTGTGGTGAGGTGATTATACTGGCTTATGCTCCCATACTCCCTAGAAGAAGATTGGGTCCACTGTACACCTGGTCTCATGTGGTATTTAGTTCCTTCATATCCCTCTTTTCCCAATATAATCAGAGGAACCTCCTGTCTCCTCAACCCCAGTCTTTCTCCTAGCTGCATCCTCAAGAGAAAAAAATAAACAGAGGGAGGAAATCCACTTACCTGTTCAACTACCTCAGTTTAACAGCTGCAACTCTGTGTCTGCCAGCTGCTCTGTCTTCTGCCCATCACATACACAGCAGGCAAATCATGATCAACACCCCAAAACTCCAGCATATAGAGGATAAAGCTTGCTTTGAAACATACCTGTGTTATACAAAAGAGGAGACTAGATGATCTAATGGTCCCTTCTGGCCTTAAAATCCATTAAATTATTCCCCACCACCCCAAACAACCTTGCCATTAATTAAGAGGTGAAAGTGAGAACCAGAAAACAAGAAATATAAAATAAAACAGAACCATGAAATTAAAACAAACTCTCAGAGCAGTTAGAAAAAAGAGCCACTGAGAATATCCAATACCTGGGTTGAAAGATACATGATTACCATGTTGTAAGTAATTTGACACCAAGGGAAATGCAAGGAAACTGCCTGAACTTTCCCCTATCCAGGAAACAATTGCAATAGTATTAAGTCTTGCCATTTCCTTAATCTGGACGAGCACTTATTTTCTTTCCCATTTAGCTTTTTTTGTTCTAAAACCTTCTAAAGGACAAATGTTACTTCCTACTTTAAATAGAACACCGTCATAATTTATCAGATTCATCCATGCTGAGATTTAAATTACATTTCCAAGCCTTATACACATGAACACATACAAGGTGATGTTGTTCTTTTCGTTGATCCCTTCCTTATATTGTCTTTGACAATTTCAAACTAACTTCTATTCCTTTTCACCTTGTAGTAAAAACAAGATTTAGAGGGGTTACTTAAGAATTCTTTTTAGCAGGCTTTTTCTACCTCCATGTATTTTATGTTCAGACACTAAAATGTAACATTCTTACCTTGTGTAAACAAACAGTGTTCCTTCCACATCAGTCTTCTCCTAAAATAAAAGAAACATACAAATAAAAACTCATAAGGTAAAGGAGAAAAAAAAATCAATGTTTTTCACCAAACAATCACTTAGTCTCACCAGCAGACATAAGAAAAACATTGGCACGGTGGATTTAACATATTGGATCATTAATACATCAAAGACCTCAATAATAAAAGGGATTACCCTTATGAAGAAGTGGATTTACTATCATATTCATAGTCCATTTCTGATGAAGAAATTATCAGGAATTATTATTTTTGTCAACCATAAATAAGTCACTACTAGCTTCCTTTTCCCAAAGACCACCACAGTTACCTATCTCTGACTGAAATGAGGAAATAATTAAACCAAGTTTCAGAGATTTGCTATTAAGAGATTACAACTACTATAGTTCCTCTTCATCCTTTAGATGAATCAGGTCTTCTGATAAGGCATAAAAACCATCAGCACTGCATTTTTTCATTTTAGTTAAAAAAAAAAAAGAAAAGAATCTCAGAGTTGTCTTATCTATTTTTTTTCTCCTGCTATCCTGTCAGTCAGGATAACTGACAAACTGTCATTTAAAAAAAGAATTCCAGTGTCTCTCTACCTGATCTACGGGATGTCAGAAACTGCCAGTACATTTGACACAATATCTCACTCATTTAAAAAATATGTAATTTTTTCTGGCTCAGGAACAAATATTTGGGAGACAAGCTCTTTGAAATCCTTCTAGATGATAGATGCTACACAATTCTGTTTACATAAAGAGAGAATTACATTTGAAATAGGGATGTTAGATATTGTGTAATTGAATATTTGTGTAATCACACAAAATACTGTCAATTACACAATTGTTAAATAGTCCCCGGGGGCAGGGTTGGCAGCGAGCGCGCTCCTGGCCCCACTCCTGGGGGAGCCCCTTGCCACCCAGCGCTGCTGCCTCTATGGGATGCAGAACGGCCTCTGTCCACGGGGAACTCGGACTCCCCCATGGGGACAAGCTGCTTCACGGCAGCCTCCCCGATCCCCCTCCCCAATGCTGCTGCCTCTGACAAAGGCAACGGTGTGTATGTGTGTGTGGAGAAGACGGCACTATGGAGCCAACGCTAGGGGGAATTGGCTTTTAAGCTGGCTCCCTCCAGCACCGGTTCCTGCTCCCCCCACCCTTGCTGCCTCTGATACAGAGGCAGCAATGGGGGGAACTGTGAGTAGTCAACAAGATTAACCAATAAGCCTAGGCTTATCGGTTAATCGTATAGTTGACTACTTGTTTACATCCTTAATTTGAAAATAATGTTTAAACATAGTTCCCTTAAACAGTTCTGACCAGTGGTGTTTAACTCCACCAGCGTTACCCAGTCAGAAGAGTTCAAAACTGATTTAGGAAAAAAAAACAGGTAAGAACTATGTTTAAGTAAATTTTTCATATACTGCTCTATTTGTTGTACGTAAAAGGGATAGGTGAAAATCATTATTACACACTGACCAAAGGATATACAGACTGACAAAATGTTAATGACATACTCAAGATCGTTTTTTAAATATCACCTGTATTATTAATATCTTATATTTCAAATATTTATTATATTTTTCAAAATTTATTTTTTGTCAATAACTCAGCTTGGATTTTGAAAATAGAAAGGTAATCTTCACCTTCTCCTAGTATCAATTTCACTTTTTGATCCTAATGCACCAATACATTGCAGTTACGGGAGTTTTTCTTCCCCTCTCTCTCATTTTCTCTTACACTGCAGGACAATATGGAAATAAAGACAACATTGCTATTAAGTTTTGTAGGACTTTCTTTAAATTTTATATAACAGCATTTATGTCTGAGAGGTGACGTAGTCAAAAGTGTCTCTCTAAATAAACTTCCAGTCCTATAATCTGATTGCATAGGCAGATCCTGATACCAGTCACCAATGTAGAGTGCCACTGAAGACAACAGACACCTTTAGGCTACGTCTACATTGGCCCCTTTTCCGGAAGGGGCATGTTAATTTCACGAGTCGTAATAGGGAAATCTGTGGGGGATTTAAATATCCCCCGCGGCATTTAAATAAAAATGTCCTCCGCTTTTTTCCGGCTTTTAGAAAAGCCGGAAAAGAGCGTCTACACTGGCCCCGATCCTCCGGAAAAAGCGCCCTTTTCCGGAGGATCTTATTCCTACTCCTCGGAAGAACAGTTGCGCAAGAGGGCTTATTCCTGAGCAGGAGCATCATAGTTCTTGCACAAGAAGCACTGATTTCACACATCAGAACGTCAGTGTTCTTGCGCAAGAACTCCCCGCCAGTGTAGACAGGCAGCACGTTTTTGCATAAAAGCGGCCACTTTGGTGCAAGATCGCACCAATGTAGACACAGCTAAAGAGTTTAAGGTGCTACTAAAGACTATCAAAACATGTAGATGGTATCACGAGCTTTCATGGACACAACCCACTTCTTCAGATGACAGGAGTGTGTTGTGTCCCAAAAGCTCATGATACCATCTATATGTTTTGTTAGTTTTTAAGATGCTGCTAGACTATTTGTTGTTTTTTAAGTTTTCCCTGTTACAGACTAACTCGGCTACCCCTTTGAATATATATCTAAGATATCTGTGAGTAACTGGTGGATGTCATGGTGACACACACCTGAACAAGCACACATGACCTCAATATTGGTGCACAAGACAAAACTCACTCCACTCATGGATGGAAAATCTTTAGATTTTCCAAATCCTCTGGAGCAGGGAGGCCTTGGAACCTGCACCTGCCCCAGCAAAATCTCTCCGCTCCAACTGGCTGGTTTCTAGCCAATAGGAGCTGGAGGGTTTTGCGTGGG